ACTTCACATCCAATAGGAGTGTTCAACTATGCGTATGCTTGTGCAAGTGTTATAACACAGTTCCTACCAGCTAATAAGCATAAGGAAAAGAACGGACAACACGTAAGATGTTTCCTCACAACTTCCATGAGGTAAAACTCATACAGGTAAGCGTACCACAACACAATATTAAATAACAAGAATGCCCCCAGGCCATCACAAATCCTCACAATCAATCCCTGACATAGCCCACCTTGTCTAGCCACGTGTACAAATAATAACATAATAAGTGCCCGCCTTGTTTCGCCACATGTGCATCATAATGTTCCCACCTTGTCTCGCCACATTCGCAACCCACATATAAGCATAAATACATATCCCGCCTTGTCACGCCGCATGTGCACTATATCAATAGTAACAATAGCACGACAAAAACCTCATGCAACCCTCAACAACAATCCGCACGGCAAAGACCTCGTGCCTAACACAACACAACTGCATGACAGAGACCTCGTGCACCAACACAACCAACAGAACCAACACAATAACAATAGTGACAGTAATACAAAACATAGCGAGTGAATCCACTCCAAAACTTCAAATCGCAAGCAATCGGTATAACCAGTTCACAAGAATATCCACAGTAAGAAAAATGAAAGGCATAAAGGGAACAGTTCAACGAAAGGGAAAACTAACATGTAGTGACGATCCCAAAATAAACAAATCAGTACAAGGAAGACAACACGAGTCTAATTGTCCCAAATAAAAGCAAGTTGACAAGGATATATGTCATCTAAACTCTGTTTAAGGTTGGGAAGTTACGAGAATATTTGATAATTTCAATTAAGGGAAGGTGATCTTAGCTACACTTAAGACTGGGCGATTATAGAAGGGATGACAATAGCCCTCAATAACACAGACAGTTATGAAAAGGTAACATGTTGCTAAGAGAGACGAAGTTCTTCAGTTAAATCAAATAGGATGACAATTAGGCAATAAGAGTAAATCATGCGGCAAATAATTCCAACTAAGCATGTAGAGACGAAACTAATAAGCAGGAATTCAGTCATATCAAGAATAACTCCATACGTAGTGAATATAAGAACCTAAGAACCCGAAAAGGCCAACTATCCACAATTAAGTCTGAGTACGCACTCGTCACCTTGCATACATGGATTACAATAAATATAGAAGACTCAATCCTAAGGGCACACAAGGTTAGGCAAGATACTTACCTCAAAGACGACAACTCGGTACTTTAAAATGGACTTCTCGGGCGAAAAGACCTCCGGACAGCTCAAATTCAACTATAACAACTCCAATACACACATAAATCGAATAAGGAACTATTCCGAATAATAAAGTTTCAATCTTTACAAAAATATAAAAATCGACCCAAAAGTCGACCCCCGGGACCGCACCTCGGAACCCATTAAATTTTACAAAATCCGATCACCTATTACAAAATGAGTTCAGCAATACAAAATTTATCCAATTCCGATACCATTTGGTCCCTCAAATCATGATTTTTCATTTTGAAAATTTTCTTCAAAAACCAACTCTTTCCCCAACCAAAAACACAATTTAAATAATTAAATAAAGACAAATTCATGGAATATATTTATTTCTAGTTGTAGAATACTTACCCAATCGAGTTTCGTGAAAACCCCACCAAATATCGCCAAGAACCGAGCTCTAGAAGTCAAAATACGATGAAAATGGTGTAACCCTCGATTTTGGAATATACTCTGTCTGCCCAGGTATTTGTTCATTGCGATTGCAGGAGAAGTGATGCGATCGCATAAAAGAAAATAGCTACTGGCCCAAAATGTCCTATGCGATCGCGGGCAAATCAATGCAATCACATAGAAGAAAAATGCTGCTGTCCAAATTTCTGCTATGCTATCGCGAACAAATCAATGCAATCACATAGAAGGAAAATGCTGTTGTCCAAATTTGTGTTATACTATCGCGGACAAATCAATGCAATCGCATAGAAGGAAAATGTTGTGTCCAAATTTGTGCTGTGCAATCACGAATGAATCAATGTGATCACATAGAAGGAAAATATGGCAGGTTAATATTGTACTATGCGATTGCAGCTATGCCCATGCGATCGCATAGAACGAAATACTAGATAGTAGAACAACAGTTCAAACATAGGGAAAAATGACCCGTAGCCCATCCGAAACACACCCGAGGCTGTTGGACCCCGTCTAATCACACAAACAAGTCATATAACCTAACACGGACTCGCTCGAGGTTTCAAATTACATAAAACAACACCCAAACAACGAATCAAACCAAAAATCAAACTTATGAATTTCCAAATCTTCAAATATCAAATTTCATACCAAAACCTATCAATTCAACTCAGAATAGCGCCAAATTTTGAAGACAAGTCCAAAATGACATAACAAAACTGCTCCAACTCTCGGAATCGTATTTCGATCCCAATATCACAAAAGTCAACTATGGGTCAAACTTCTCCATTTTCCAAACTTCAACTTTTCCAACTTTTGCCAAAATGCCCCAATTTACCCTACGGACCTCCAAATATGAATCCGGATGCGCGCCTAAGTCCAAAATCACTATACGAAGCTGTTGGAATCATCTAAAATTCATTCTGGGGCCATTTACGCAAAAGTCCAATTCCGGCCAAATTCTCACCATTCAAACTCCCAAAACTAGATTCCTTCCTCCAATTTGACTCTAAATCATCCATTAACTGAATTCAACCGTGCACGCAAGTCGATACTCATATTATGAAGTTGTTCAAGACCGTGAACAGCCGAACGGAGCTTAAATTCTTGTAACGATCGGCCGGGTCGTTACAATCAACCTCTCGTCTCTACTTCTTTGACGTTAGATGGGATACTTACTGAGTACATGTTGTTTTCGTACACATGCTACACTTGCTGTGCATTTTTGTTGCACAAGCACATGTACGTTTCGTGGCCTAGTTAGGTGCAGCGACATGGTTGATATAGGGACTTAGGCGAGCTGCACTTCTTGAGACGATCCGCAACCAGCAGAGTCTCCTTCAGAGTGTTGTATTGTATTTTCTTTCTACTGTCCAACTTGTTTTCTGGACAGTTATTATATTACATTATTTTCCTAGAAATTGCTCATGCACTTGTGATACCGGGTTTTGGGATGTCTATGGAAATATTCAGTATTTTAAAATTGTTAAAGGTATCATTATTTATTCAGTGAAATTTATTATCTATTGTTTAATTGTACAAAGGAAATGATTTCAAAAATACCTAAAACAAGAACTTACTAGTTATTTGGTGTTGGCTTGCCTGACAATGGTGTCCGACGCCATCACGACTCCTAGTAGATTTTGGGTCGTGACACAAATGCCTATGGATTGTCACGGGAACTAGTACATGATATCTCTTTTCAACAGAAAATGCGGGAAAACAAAAGTAAAATAAAAGGAAAATAATTATATTCTGTAAATGTTTGATTTATTAGTTGGATCGATATAAGGTTAACTAGTTAAGATTTTCCTACAAGTCTATTAGTTTTGCAAGACTGGTTTTTGTATTTCAGAAAAAATGTAGATCTCTGACTAGCTACTTAATGAAACCGTGGTATCAATTTCTTTTGTCAAGACAAGCACAGAAAACTACTAGTGAAAGTTATTTTATTTCACTTACCAGCACAACAATCAAACACATCCTCAACAACATTGCTTTCCTGCGATCTGCTTTGATTATGTACCAAGGATGTATTGGTTCGCTATTTACGTGGTGTAGAATTTTGTTTAAGTTGCAGAAAATATAGTATAATATCAGACAAATTTAATACTATATAATATGCCAAATTGATCAATACAGAGACCTAAAAATTGAAAACAGTATCAAGAGTATTAGTCTATACCATGACCATCTTCGGATTGAAGTTTTTATTGTTGATTATTCCATAGGAGACGACCACAAGCACAAAAGTTAAAAAAGGAAAAAGCACTAATACATACACTACTAATCATGCCAATACACACAGACTCTCATCACCTCGTGCATATGTAGCCCCTATTGAGATTAGCTTGGGACTGAGAAAACCAAGCTCATGCAAGACCTCCAATGGAGGTTCTAGAGACTTTTGAGAAACAAAGAGAGAGAGAGAGAGAGAGAGAGAGAGAGAGAGAGAGAGAGAGAGTAGACAGAAGATGGAAAATGAAATATCTATTTTTCTCATTATTACTCTAAAAGAAATGTGTATGTATATATGTACATATGCGCACACATGTGACATCTAACTACTCTAACTGTGTAACTAACTACTATGCTAACTATCAACTCTACTTATCTATATACAATACAATACAAGTACATGCAACATATTAAATTAAGTGCCTATTCTCAATACCCCCCTCAAGTTGGATGGGAGGATCTCACATCCAACTTGCCAAGTACAACAACATGTTTAACACCTGTGAGAGCTTTAGTGAGGATGTCTGCCAATTGGTCATTGGTGGCTATATGATGAAGAGAAATGAGACCTTCCTAGAGCCTAGTTCTGACAAAATGGCAATCCACCTCAATGTGTTTGGTCCGTTGAAGGAACACATGGTTATGAGCAATGTGAATGGTTGATTGGCTGTCATAGAAGACAGTAATAGGACTGGATTATATTGTAGGATAGTGAGCTCCTCAAATAACCTGTTCGGCCACACCAATTCTCCAACAACTTTTCTGAGGGACCTATATTTAGCTCCAGCTGATGATAAGGAGATGGTCTCCTATTTCTTGGACTTCCAGCTAATAGGGCTGACTCCTACTAGCACAATATATCCAGTAACAGATCTTTTGGAATCAGGTCATGATGCCCAATCAGAGTCACAATAAGCAGATATTGAGTAGTCAACATTGTTGGAGAAAAATATTCCTAGTGTGAGATCCTTCATAAGATATCTGAGGAGGTAGAAGGCTGCAGTCAAGTGTGTGTCTCTAGGTTCTTGCGTAAACTGATTGAGAAACTGCACACTGTATATATGTCAAGTCTTGTGTTAGTTAGGAAGTTCGCTTTCCTACTAGTTTTCTATATTGAGTAGGATCTGGCAACAAGGTTCCTTCATTGGCCTTTAGTTTCAGTGAAGGGTCAAGTGAAGAAGACAAACTACTGTATGCAAAGCAGTCATATTCCTTAAGAAGGTCTAAAGCAAATTTTCTTTGAGAGATGAGAACTCCATTTAATTTGTAAAGGACTTCTAAGCCCAAAAAGTAGTGAACCCTCCCTAAGTCTTTGATTCTGAATTGTTTGTCAAAAAAAGCCTTCAGGTTAGCTATCTCTACTGAATCAGTGCCAGTGATTATCACATAATCAACATACACTGCCACAAAGATGGTGGAGGATGAAGTCCTTTTGGAGAATAGTGAGTAGTCATTCTCAAAATGATTGTATCCCATGGATGATAGAGCCTCAATTAATTTGGCTTACCACTGCGTGCTAGCTTGTTTCAGTCCATAGAGGGGTTTGTTTAGTTTTCAAACCATCTTGTGTGAACTGGGATGATCAATCAAGAGACCTGGTGGCACCTCTATATATATGTCACGATCCCAACCTCGATCGTGATGGCGCCTAAAACACTGCTAGGCAAGCCTAACCAACTAACAACCTCAATCTGTTTTCTTATAAAAATCAGTATCAGCTAACATAGTTAAATTGCTAAATTTCCCTAATAAGAGTTTAAGACAACGAGTTAAATATGCAGAAATTCAGATGATAATACCACTACCTAGCCCATACAGATATGGTGTCACAAGTCTCGAGCCTCTAGTACAAGTTTAACAGCCTAATACATAATCAGTCTAGGAAATGCGGATAAAACGAAAGGATAGAAGGGAGAGATCCGGGCTGCGGACGCCCTGCAACTACCTCTATTCTCCCCGATATGAATTGATCGACTGAAAATCCTCACTCAGCCTCTGGAACAACTTGATCTGCACGCAAGGTGCAGGGAGTAATGTGAGTACTCCGACCAAGTGAGTAATAAGCATAAATAATGACTGAGAATAAGAAGTCACGAAAAAACACAGAGTAAGCTATAATGTGGCAGTTTAAACAAGTAATATGAAAGCAAGAAACCAATGGAAACGAAATATGGTAATGCTACAACAAATAAGCAGTTAAGTGACAGACATATAAAAAAATCAACACATAGAACGGTGCCCTATAGTACCCGCTGCGGCGTGCAGCCCGATCCATATATTTCGTCGACGGCGCTCACTAGGGGTGTGGAGACTCCGGGTGGGGGCCCCTTATGGTCCAAGTGCAATATCAAGCCATCTCGTGGCATCAAATCTAGGCCCTCAGCCTCATATCAATATCAGTATAACACTGCTGCAGCGCGCAACCCGATCTCATAGTATCCTCACATCTGGCCCTTGGCCATACTCAGTCCAGAAATCATATAAGCCCCTCGTGCATTAGTAAAATAGTAGTTCTCAGCCCAAAACATCAATTAATATATCATTTTAGTTTCAGAACTGAGTAGAAGTGGTTGAGTTGGAAAATAGTGGAAAACGGTATGACTAAGTTCAAGTAGTAAGTCAAAATAATGAGAAAATAGTGTTAAAACTCCCCGGAGGGTTCAAATAGTTGGCACGAAGCCCAAATGTGGCCATCAGTCCAAATAATGATGATAACAAATAAGCTTTAATCAAATACATTGTAAAAGCATCACCCGGGATGGACCAAGTCACAATCCCCAATAGTAAATGACCTTACGCTCATCATCAAGCGCGTATCTCACCTTAATATAGCACTACGATGTGCAAATCCGGGGTTTCAAACCCTCAGGACATCATTTACATTCATTACTCACCTCGAACCGGCAAAAACTCTAGCTCTCTACGCCTTTGCCTCTCAAATCGGTCTCCTCGCGCGTCGAATCTAGCCAAAATCAGAACGAATACATCACAATATGCTAAGGGAGAAAAGCCCAATCGAAAACAATCGAAAATATCAAAAATCCCGAAATTAGCGAAACCCGAGCCCACTTCTCGAAACTCAAAATTTTTAAATCAATGGGTTCCTTATCCTCCCACGAGTTCATACACATCAAAAGTTCTCAAATCCGACCTCAAATGGTCCCTCAAATCGCAATTCAAAAGTTCAAAATCCCAAGCCCTAGTTCTTCCATTTTTAGCTCAAGTTCCAAGAATTTCTAGGTTAATTTCACAATAGATTCGAGTTTTAGGTTCGAAAATCTTACCTCCAATCAATTCTCCTTGAATCCCTCTTTAATCACCTTCAAAAAGCTCTCAAAATACTCAGCCATGGAGGAAAAATGGCTCAAAATTGCGGATAAAATGACTTATAAACTTTTTGCCCAGGGCTTTTTGCATCTGCGACCCCACCACCGCTCCTGCAGTACCACTTTTGCGGTAATTCCTTCGCATCTGCGGAAATCAATTAGGGGGTCAGGTTCCGCACCTGCAGTCCACGAGCCGCATCTGCGACTCCACAGGTGCGGTCCATATGCTACATCTGCGGTCCCTGACAAACCTTCCCAAATCTGCTTCTGCGGCTCTCCTTCCGCATGTGCGGCACTGCACATGCGGTCCCAAATCCGCAGGTGCGGAGATACCAGAAGCAGCAATATCAGCTGCTGCAACAAGGTTCCAACTTCTCCGTTAGCCATCCGAAATCACCCGGAGGCCCTCGGGACCTCAACCAAAAGCACAAACATAACCCAATACCTTATTCAAACTTCCTCCAATCATCAAAACACCACAAACAACACCAAAACCACCAATTCACGTCGCATTCAAGCCTAAGTTATTCTAAAAACTTCCGAAACACGCTTTTGATAAAAAACCCAACCAAACCACATCAAAATGACCTGAAATTTTGCACACACATCCCAAATGACATAACGAAGCTACAACAACTCTCAGAATTCCATTCTGACCCCTAGATCAAAATCTCACCTATCAACCGGAAATCGCCAAAATACTAACTTCGCCAATTCAAACTAATTCTACACCGGACCTCCAAAACCACCTCTGATCATACTCCTAAGTCACAATTTACCTCCCAAAGCTAACCAAACAATCGAAACTCACTTCCGAGCCCTCTAACTCATAAGTCAACATTCGGTTGACTTTTCCAACTTAAGTCTTCTTAAAAGAGACTAAGTGTCTCATTTCTTACCAAAACCACACCAAACGCAAACCAATCAACTCGACCACATAAAACACGGATAGCGAAGCATAAATAAGTAGAAATGGGGGAAACAGAGAGGTAACTCATGAGACGATTGGCCGGTCGTCACAATATACCTCATCAAACAAATCACCATGGAGGAAAGCATTGTTCACATCAAGTTGGAAAATATCCCAGCCTTTCTTCACTGCTACTGTAAGTAAGGCTCTAATTGTTGTCATTTTGACAATAGGGGAAAATGTTTCTATGTAATCAATCCCTGCTTGTTGGGTATAGCCTTATACTACTAGTCTTGTTGATACCCAATTTTTTTCTAATATTTTAAAGTGCATATATACCTTCAAAACTATGCATTAGCATCGATTGATATTTTTTCATAATTTTTATATTTTTAAATTAATTTATTCTATAGTTTTATTTATATAAATAATTATAAAATTGCATCACAAATGGCTCAATAACATTCTATTGATTTAATTTTGTTATTCATAGCCATATTAAGTTCAAATTATTTCACAAATGGCCAGATTTACACCTTTTGATTATAATTGCGATAATTTTACAATTATAGCCCATGCATACATTACTACATTATGTTGCAAGAAATTGGTCCATTATATTTTTAAAATATTGAATAATTATTGTAAAGCATTTCTATGCATGAAAATTATTTTTTCTCATTATTAATTATTTTATAAAATAATTTATATTCAATTACTTGGGAATTTAATAAATAGCCCCTTTTTATTTCAGACCTGAGCTATTTAAAACCAACCCAAAACCCTTTTAAAAATCAGCCCAAACCCCTTTTGGCCCAATCCGCCTACCCGACCCAATAACCCCATTAAATCGTGGCCGTTGATCTTTTAGATCAACGGTCCACGATCAAACTTCCTTTTTTAATTCCAAACGACTCCTAACCTAATTAATTTCTTACCATACTTCGCCGGCCTTCGTTCCCTCATTTCTCAAACTCTCTCTGAGACCCAGACCTAACCCTAGCTGCCGCCACCCAAAACCATCCCTAATCCCTCCGATCCTTACTTGATCCATGGGTTTCCATGGGTGTTTGAGACCCCTGCTTGTCTCCTACGTCTCCTGGTTGCTTATTTTTGTGATTTCAGGGAAAGATCTCGAAGAGATCTAGTCCAGATCTTGTTCAAGACCCTTTGTGAGTCCGTCGATGGTCTGTGAGTGCTTTTCTATTAATGTTTTACATTTCAAATCTCTGGTTCAAGACCAAATTTCCCTTTACTCTTTCCTTTTTTTCTTAAAAAACCCAATGTTTGGACTTGAATCGATTCAGATCTATGTAGATTTGGAGCGATTCTGAGTTCGTCACTAATTTTCTTTAAGGTTCTCTTACTTCCTTACTGTTAATCAATTTCAACACTATGTTATTCTATGGTTTCTGGTTTCTTTGTTATTTGTTGTCTGAATCCTTGCCTATTTTGACGCGTTTCAGGTTTACATAGTTGTTTTCTTTAAGGGTCCTTTGATTTCTATACTGTCAATCAACCTTAAGTGTTTTCAAATTAGGGGTTTTCTACTTCTTCTGTTTTTGCAAAAGTTTTTCTGAGATCCTCATGTTTTGTTTAATCTTTCTCGCATGATTAGGTTTCTGGTTCAATTGACTGACTATTCATTGTTTGATTTCAACCTCTTATCTATTATTGCTAGAATAATTAAAATGATTAGCCTAATTATCTAGGGTTTCATTTGTTTATTGATTTTTGTTTGTTTCCCTTAATCCTTAGGCTCTTAATTTACATCTCTTGCCTATTTATGGGTTAATGACATTTGATTGGTCTTTAATTATCTATGATTGCCTTATTCGTGTAATTGATTGCTTGATTTATGGGCTCTATCCCTAACTGGCTGTTAAACTTACTTCTTGACTTATTTGAGATTCAATTAGAGTTATTTATGGTATAACTCCCTAATTTCATATCCCCAATCAAGCATTGATTGATTATTTGGTTACTTCCTTTACTTTATTCACAATATTTACCTACCTTGCCTTAGTAAACTATCCGTATGGTTCAGGTATTCTTACTGATTCCTTTATATGGTATGATTGGGATTCTTTCTTTAGTTAGTCCCCTATTATTACCATTTGATCAATTACCCCTAATTAAGGAGTCTACTCTGAACTCCTTTATGTGATTGGATTCTATGATCCTATGATTTCCTTAATTGACTGAATGTTGATTTCTTTCCCTTATTTTGGCTCTACTCT